TTTGTTTTTCGGGTGTGGAGTTTGGGGAGTTCCTTATAGATTTTGGATACCAGCAATAGAACTGCTAGGAATTTACCCAAGGGACACAGGAGTGCTGATGCATAGGAGCACATGTACCCCAATGTTCACAGCAGCACGTTCAACAATAGCCAAATCATGGAAAGAGCCTAAATGTCCATCAACTGACAAATGGATCAAGAAGATGTGGTTTATCTATACGATGGAATACTACATGGCAATGAGAAAGAATGAAATCTGGCCATGTGTAGCAATGTGGATGGAACTCGAGGGTGTTAGGCTGAGCAAAATAAGTCAGGCAGACAAAGATAGCATATGTTTTCACTTATAACTGGATCAGGAGAAACTTAACAGAGGACCATGGGGGAGGAGAAGGAGAAAAAAGAGTGGGGGAGAGGGAGGGAAGCAAACCAGGAGAGGCTCTTGAATACCAAGAACAAACTGAGGCTGATGGGGGTGGGGGAGAGGGGAAGGGGGTGATAGACATGGAGGGGGGCACTTGTTAGGATGAGCACTGGGTGTTATATAGAAACCAACTTGACAATAAACTATGAAAGAAAAAAAACAATATTGGTTATTTGAATCCATGAAAAAAAAAAAAAACCCAAGACACAACCCAGTAAATTGGTGGACTAGTAGTGAACAACTCCCCACCCATCCAAATGTGTTCCTTCTACTGACCATGGAAATGGAAGTCAAGGCTTTCTTCCTGGGAGCCGGGATGGGGGTGACACCAGCCACCACAGAGTTGGGATGCCTCATTTCTACCGTTTTCTCCAAGGCAGATTTCCTTCTGACATCTTCCCACTCAAGGATGTGAGACAGAAGTCAGGGTGAGCTGCTGGGTACCTCGGTGGCCTATCTGTCGAAGCAAAGAGGTCTGCGGCGTTCCCTCTCTTTGGGAAAGGGGCAGGTCCACTACTTCTCCCGCCAAATATTTTTGAACTATTGGAGTTTACAAACCAGGATTTTTCTGAAATTTGCAGTCTTCAATATCAAGTCCTCCTTTTGAAATCGCATATACTCTCTCGATGTAACAGCACACATAAGCATATGGTAGGTTTGGATGGAACTTTTTAAACAACTGCAAAGATCATTTGATAATAATCCAAATGATCCGCTGAATATGAGGTTACTAGGAATAAGAAAGTTCAGTATTACAGAGCACAGGCACGATGTGCTTCCTTCATTGTATTATTCCTTAAAGGTTCTTTTTCTTTCTTTCTTTCTTTCTTTTTTTAAACATATATTTATTATTGAGACACATAGTGACACAGAGCATGAGCAGCGGAGGGGCAGAGAGAAGGTGAGACACAGAATCTGAAGCAGGCTCCAGGCTCTGAGCTGTCAGCACAGAGCCCGACACAGGGCTCGAACCCACAAACTGTGAGATCATGACCCGAGGTGAAGTCCGACACTCAACCGACCAAGCCACCCGGGTGCCCCGAGGTTCTTTTTCTTTCATTAAATTCTTACAGACCTACATTATAAAACCAATCAACAAAGAGTAAGTGACATGTATGATGACAAAGTAGGGCCAAACCAGCTTCTAGATGAGTTGATCTTCCAACTTTTTTGATCTTATACTCAAAATAACGATTTGAACCTACCAAGCTGTAGAATGACAACATAACTCAAAAAATGAACCTCATGTATGGATATGAACTGTAAAGCACTCTCTTATAGCTAGTCGTGTGTGTGTGTGTGTGTGTGTGTGTGTGTGTGTGTTGGGGAATTGTGGAATTGAGAAATTAAGAATAATAATAAGCCTCCCAGGGGCGCCTGGGTGGCTTAGTCGGTTAGGCGTCCGACTTTCGCTTGGGTCATGATCTCGTGGTTCGTGGGTTCGGGCCCCTCGTCGGGCTCTGTGCTGACTGCCAGCTCGGAGCCTGGAGCCTGTTTCAGTCTGCAGCTCCCTCTCTCTCTGACCCTCCCCTGCTCACGCTGTCTCTCTCTCTCTCTCTCTCTCCTAGAAATAAATAAAACATTTTAAAAAAATAATAATAAGCCTCCCATTGTTAGCAAGTGATCTTGAAAATTGTTTTAAAGAGGCTACAATGTTAGCAACATTAAATGGAGCCCTTTGTCTTGAAGGCGAAAATTGCAGAACAGGGCAAAAGTAGACTGCAATGGAAGAAGCCACTCCCCAAACTGGGAAAACAATGGACTCAGGCTGATTTCTTTTTGTTCCTCACAAAAAGGTAAACTCTTCTGTAAAAGTTCCATCTGGGTATCCATTTCCGCAAAGAAAGAAGCTCTGATAGTTACCCCAAACTCTCAGGTGGTCAACGCAGCAGCCATGGAATACTTGTTCTCAGACTTCAGATCCTGGCATAGGTTTTCAGGGTGTCAGACTGTTTTGAGGCTCCAGGTGCAAGACTGAGTCCTCACACCATTTGCTTTCGTAGCCCCACAATACCTAAGGCCATGTCTTGCATATAGCAAACAAACTATAAATGTTTTTTTCAGTTTATTGATTTATTCTGAGAGAGAGCGAGAGCAAGAGCACAAGCAGGGGAGGGACAGAGAGAGAGAGAGAGAGAATGAGAATTCCAAGATGGCTCCACGCTGTCAGCATGGAGCCCAACACAGGGCTCGATCCCATGAACCATGAGATCATGACCTGAGCCGAAACCAAGAGTCTGATGCTTAACCAACTGAGCCGCCCAGGCGCCCCTAAATATTTTTTGAATAGAGCGGAAACATATTGATCCTATGAAAACAAATCTTTTTCGAAGGATAAAACAGCTTAAGTTTCAAAAGGTTCTGCAACTCGAGCTGCAGCCGCTGGTACCCATGTCTCTCTGCCTTCTAGGACTTGGAGGACATGTCCCTGGAGCCTGGACAAACTGTGTGTTCCCTGGACATGTCTGTTCCGTGTAATCACCTAGACCCTGAGAGGCGTACGGTTCCCCTCATCAGTCCTGGGGGGGGGTCTACATAGATTGGGGGGTGGAGGGGGATAGCAAAGAACGTCACCCCCTATCCCTTTCTCCTATCCTTTGCCAGGAGGTCAGGACCGGGCTGAGTAAAATGGACAGATGTAGTATTGGAACAGCGCTTTTCTTCAAGTGGCTCCGTCCCTCACTGTCTCTGGGGGGCAATTTCATTCTATAAAGAGCAAACGTGTAGCTCTTTAGTTGAACTAAAATCAAGGGGACCAGCCTCAGGACCAAACCACTTCTCGACCAGACGCCCTTGATTTCTTCCACCTCAGGGACCGGGGCGCGGCAAGAGTTCATTTCTAGGAAGTAGAGAGCTTTTCCTAAAGGGAGAAAGGGGTGTTTAGGGCATGGGTGTAGACGGTTCTTCTGGAGTGTTCTTGGGGCCCTTGGAAGTAGTGTGGAGGGAGTGGCATAAAAGGTGTTCTAGGCCATGATCCACAACCCTCCCCTTCATTTAATAAGTAGATAGATGAGAAGAACGGCTTTCTAGAAATTCGTGACGAACGGGGAGGCAAGAGAAGAGGAAAGCGGATGTCCGCTGATAGAACGTGCTTCACAAGGCCCTTGGTCCTGAGGAAAACTTGACCTTTAGCTCTAGACAGCTGCAAGAGGGGCTTCTGCACAGCTGGTGTTGACCGCATTGAGGGTTGAAGTCGGGAGAAGGACAGGGCAAGGCAGAGGGACCACCCTCCCCGGGGGTGTTGATGCTCAAATCAGGCTTTTCAATACTTGAAGGCCTGCCTGTTGGATTGATAGAGAAAGCGGAGAGGGGCTATGGCGCAGAGGTCTCTGGGGGCCAGGTCGGAGTGGACCTCAGACTTTGGGTGGGGGAAGGGAAGGGGCCTGGGGTTGAGGTGGGCACACAGACTGAGAAAATTCGGCAAGGACCCCTAGGGCAATCCTGCGAGGTACCTCCAGGCCTGCAGTGCCTGGGGTTTCAAGGTCCCCAGTGCAGGGGTCGAAGTGTGTCAGGCCTTTCGGGACAGTAGCGTCAAGGTAAACACACAGGGCAGGTGCACCTGTGAGGAAGACGCAAGCGCCCTCGTGAGGGAAGCGAGTGGGCGTTGTGAGGAAAACGGAAAGGCCCTCCTGAGGAAAGTGTTGGGGCGCCATGGGAGCAGATGCAGGGGCCATGGGAGAGAAGCTCATGGGGGCAGAGCTGTGAGGAAAATGCACAGGGCTTCCCTCAAGGGGTTAAGGGGCTGCTCTGAGGGGCGGGGGGGGGGGTCGCTGCCAGGGAAGATGCTAATCCCTGAATTCTGTTGTCCCCTCCCAACCTTCCAAGAGCTGAGGGTTTTTCAAGACAGGGCCAGGAGGGGGCTCCACTTTAAATTTTCTGTCCACCACGATCTCACTAAGATGGCCTCGTGGCTGGCCCCCTTGAAGAGAAGGGGCACGTGGCACCCTCAGCGAGCTCGAACGGGACAGTCACCCAGAGCCCTTCTCCCTTTCTTGGGCGGGCCTTCTTTTCTCGGCCTTAATGGGGTCACCTGATTCCCAAGCTGATTTTCCACAAATGGCCCCTGAAAGACCCAAGGTGTAGGAAGTGCTAAATCTGGAAGTGCTACTTGAGTGGCTATTTGTGTATGGAGGGCTAGTTTTCTCTCCTTGCCAGCCTCTGTCAGGTTCAAAGGGTGACCTATAATCTACTAAAGTTGAGTCTGAGGGCATAAGCTGAAAGCCCGGGGACATGTAATCTTTAACGGTAACATTCGGCTGGGGGCGCCTGGGTGACTCATTCTGTTAAGTGGCTGACTCCTGACTTTAGCTCATGTCGTGGTCTCCACGGTACATGAGTTTGAGTCCCCTGTCGGGCTCTGCGCTGGCACTGAGGAACCTGCTTGGGATTCTTCCTCTCTCTCTCTCTCTCTCTCTGTTCTTCCCTTGCTTTCATGCTCTCTCTAAATCAATCAATCAATCAATAAGCATAAAAACAATAAAGATAACATTTGGTAACCTGGGTCTGGTAGGGAAAGAGTTCAGGAGGAAGGAGGAGGGAGAGGGAGACACCTATCTAAGAAGACAAGTGAAGGGGCTGCCTGGCTGGCTCAGTTGGTAGAGTGTGCAACTCATGATCTCAGGGTCGTGAGTTTGAGCCCCACGCTGGGCATAAAGCCCACTTAAAAAGAAAAATAGGACAAGCTACAGCAGTAGCTGCCCAACTGGGCTGTTGGGATCCCCTGGAATTTTTATATGAACCGACCTTTATACTTCGAAGGAAGAGCATTCACTCAGAGAGCGAACCGTACTGACTGATAGCATTTTTCCCTGGGAGAAAGGGACGGGGTGTTTTAGGGAGAAGGACAGGAGAGGGGTGGATTCCAGGCTCCTACTGAGGAGGGAACAGTTGACTTGGCAGAGAGGTGACCTCTCCGTTCCTCAAAGCCCCTCAGGCCTGGGGAATTGGGGTCACTTCCCTTGGGCTTCCTGAAGGCAGGTTGCCCATTGGCCTTAGCCTGGACTCACAGGCTTTGCTTGGTTTGGGGGCCGCGGTTGCCCCTCAGGGCTCAGTCACGCAGAAAGGGTCAATAAAGTATGTATCTCACGCCAAAGAAGAAAGACAATAAAACCACCCTCAGGGTCAGAGGTCATCTAGTCACTGATTGAGATATTCACAACTCTTTTTCCTCTCTCCTCTCTTCTTGTCCCCTCTAGCTCCGGAGGGCTGGTTCCCCCTTGACTCTTTCCTTTTCGCCTTTCTCCAAAGCCAAAGTTATCCCCGGAAATCAATGAGGTGTGAGGCTGAAAGAAAAAAAAGAAAAGAAAAGAAAAGAAAAACCAAGTCCTGTAAGATGAAGCTTGAAAAACAAGAGAGGGATAGTGGATGGAACCCATCAGTTAAGACTCTGGCCTCAGAGCCCCTGTTTGGCTCAGTTGGTGGAGCACGTGACTCTTGATCTTGGGTTGTGAGTTCAAGCCCCGTGTTGGGTACGGGGATTAGTTAAAAATAAAATCTTAAAAAAAAAAAAAAAAAAAAAAACAGAAAAAGAAGAAGAATACGTAGACTCTTACAGAGGCTGCAGCCCAACAATTCCGGGGTCAGCAAGCTTTTTCTGTAAAGGGTCAGATAGAAAATATTTTAGACTTTGTGGGCCACGTTCAGTCCCTGTGGCCATAATCTCCCTCACCTTTTCTTCTCTTTCTCCTTTTTCTACTTCTAACCCCTTAAAGATGAAAGCACATACACACACACATTCTTTGCTCCTGGGGTCCTACAGATACAACACAGGCTCTCTGCTAGATCTGGCTTAAAACAAGCTGCCAAGTCACATTCAGACTAGGAGTCAGTCTAATTTGCCCCTACTCTGTCTTGCTTGGGGGGTTGGGGGAAGATCAGGTGGAGAAGGGGGGGGGGCTGTGCTTAATTTTAATATCAAAGCACTTTCCGCCCATCCCCTCACCAGGAGAGGATGAGAGATGACTGACTCCAAACCCAATGCAGAAACTCAGGCAATCCGATTTTACAAAATGCCCTTCCTGAACTATACGAAGTTCCTTGGGAGGTGAATGAGCCGGGGACAGCATTGTTTTAGGGGACAGGAATGCTCCTTCTCAACTTGGGAAACAGGGAAGATCATTCTGGTACTGCTGCCTCTGCCCCGGAAGAGGAGAGAAGGGGAAGAAGAACGGGGGACCAGGGCCTGGATCAGGGAAATGGAGCTTGGCGACACATGGACCATGGGGGGTCCCAGACCGAAGCACCAAGGCTGAGATTCGCTGCCGGAAACCACGATGGGGCCCAGAGGTACCCTTCCTGTCACTTGGGGGTACAGGATCCTGTCTCAAAGCAGAGAAATGAAAACAAATACCTCAGGACAGTCTAAGGCTTCTCTCCACTTGTTTTGGAGCTGAGATCACTTGCATTTCAGAACGGTTGGGGCATTTAGCACCTAGAAGGAACCTGGGGTCCTGGGTAAACGTGTGCTCCAGAATGTCAGGCAGGCTTCACACCCCTATCCATTCTCCTTCGCCTGTCTCTTCAGGTCTCTGGGAAAGCACCTGTAAAAAAATCAGAGGCACCTTGGTCTGTCGGCCTCTGCCTGAGTGTCCCTCTCGCCTTGCCTGGGCACTCCCCACCTACACGGGGTTCTGAGCCGGAAGGAAAGGGAAAGTCCTCTTCCAATGTGACTGGTCCTTCTGGCGCTCAGAGCCACAGCCAGTGTGTCTTGGAGCTCGGAAGCACCCCCAGAGCAGTAAGGATACTCACCGGCAGCAGGACCTGGTGGGTCACAACCACAGCTCACTCTGAGCCTGGCTCCCAGATTTGGCACTGAGCACTGCCGCCGCCTACGGCTTCACTCCATTTCCTGTATGGCTAGGGCTCTCTTCATAATCCAAAATCCAGCTATCCTGGAGTCTGATAGCTCTAGTTCAATTCCCTGCCTTCCTTCTCAAGTTCAATCCTATTTACTTTAGTAAAGTTCAATCCTATTTACTTTACACACACACACACACACACACACACACACACACACATTCTGCACAGCCTTGATTGACAAGTACAATGAAAATGTCTCATTCCCGTCTAGTTTGCATTTCATTACATTGGTCAGCGATATGTGTTGGACTGCAGGACAAAGGCAAGACAGATTTTTTTAAAAAGGTGTTGAGTAACAATATCTATTTGCTCATTCTGTACTGTATTTTAAGGGCACGTAGGGCTTATAAAATATTTGTCAAATGATGGGAGTGTGGCGAAAAGTCTAATGGAGCCAATAAAATCTGGAGCCCAAATGAGCGGTTGGCGAGTGTGTCTGCAGGTCCCGGGGCTCTGGATATCGATGGTTCAGCTCGGCCCCTGAAGCCAATTAAGAGCCTTATCTTAGCATAAAAATAAAGAGGAGTTAAAAACGCATTCCTTTCCCAGCTTTCTCCCCCTTCATTTTTTATGGCGTTTCGCAGTTTTTCTTTTAAAAAGGTCTGGGATTCTGAGGAGAGGGTGGGGATTTATGTAAAGAAAGTGTCGTTTACCAGGAAGAAGAAAATGTGAATAATGGTGAGTTTCAAGGACAAGTTTCAACGAGGAACACTTTGTGCTCTAGTAGGAAGACGCAGGGGCACCAAATTCAGCGTCTTGGAATAATTCCCTTCCTGGATTCAAAGATTCATTTATTGAAATAAATCAGGAAGCATTGGCAGAACGGAAATCCGCTTGCTGGGTTTAAAGGGTCTTTAAAATGTTGCGAGTGTTAGATTGCAAGTCTTTTCTAAATACAAAACAGAAGAAAAGACCGCAGTGTTTCCCTTGGACTTAAAGAAAATTGCTAGGTCTCCGACTTAGGATAATTTCATGTCCGCCACAGAAAATGTGTTTAGAAAGAAATCCTGCCGGATAGCACAACGTGCTGTAAGATGGTTTGGTTTTTGTTTTTTTAAGGAGGCTGGAGTGGAGAAAAAAAAAAAAAGTGATACAGAGTGGGGTCTGGGTTGTTCGGAGGAACCAATTCGTCCCTACTGCCTGTCTGGACATTCTGTTTGCCTTCTACTTCTCTAAGATGGACCCTAAAATCCAGCCTCAAAAGCTTTGCTTGTTTGGCAATGGCGTTTCACTGATTTTATTTATTGCTTCTGATTTGGGCAGGAGAATAAATCTTTTTCCTATTTACTGTTTGAACTCAGTGTGAGGGAACGGATCCCATTATATTTCCTATCCATACAGACATGTGGATATTTAGACCAGACCACATACAACGGGGGGGACGCATAAAAGAGATTTATTGGTTAATTTACGCTGCCTAATACACATGTAAACCCCAGTAAGCCAAAGCTGCCGAAGGAGTCTCGGTTATCGCGGAAAATAAGAACCACGACCCCTGGGTTCGAGTTGCCGTGCCCTGCCCAGCCCAGTGATTGCTTTCTCCACCTGAGAAACGAGGAAACAGGCACTCTCTTCTGCCTTGCCCCAGCTTGAGTGCAGGGAAAACTTTTCTGTTCTCTTCTGTTCCGGCCACCAGTCTGCTTTGAGACACAGCTCCCCAAAGCTGTGTGTCCCCAGAAGTTCTTCCCCAGGGTCTCCTCCGAAAAGCAAGTTGAGGGGTGAGGGCTGCATGCAGATCAGCAGGGAAACTTTGCCGTATTATTGTTATTATCGCTATGATTGCCTAACAGGGGTGGTTTGCTTTGGGGGAGGGGGCTTTGTTCCCGTGTGCGGGAAACTTGCTGTATCTGGAGATGTTTCGCCTTCTCTCGGTTCCGAGGGTGAGAGTTTCCCCCCTCCCCAAAAGGAAACCTGCACGCAGACCAACCAAAAGAGATTTCGAAATGATCTGCCTCGGCCCTGCTGTTCGCAAAGCCCCCAGTCTCGGCCTGTCGGGGGCCTGCGGGGACCCTGTGCCTCGCTGAGCAACGACACCCCCTCGGAGTCGCACTCTCGGGCCGGGCCGCGCCGCCCCAGGAAGGGCTCCACCGCCCGGGGTTTTGGCCTGGCCGAACCGCCTCAGGTCGGCCCCTTAACAACCATCCCCCCTCCCCACTTCTCGGTTGATGATCTAATTGAATTATGCCTTTTTGTTCCAGGGACTACAGAGCACGTGCTGGAGGCAATTAATTATCGGAATGTGGCCATATCAAAACGGACACCGGGCACCGGGTAGGTCAGCAGCCGCCACATCCCCCCTGCCCTGCGCTCAGGCCCCCTCCCCCAGAAGGGGCCGACTGGGCTCCCTCGGCCGCCTTCCTCCCTCGGCCCCTCGCCTCGCTGCGCGCCCCGACTCCCAAACGCGCAAGGCCCCAGGTTCTCAGGGGCACCTGGCGGGTCTCTCGGCAAACCCTCGCCCCAGCGCCGGCCGTGCCGGTGTCCGACAGTCACCCCCCCCACCCCCCCACTCCCCGAGCCTAGAGAAGGATATAAAGGGCAAGGCGAAAAGAAAGGGGAAAAGAAAGAAAAGCAGTCCTCCCTTTTGGTAAACCTGACTCCAGGGAATTCATTTGCATGATTTAGGCATATTTGTTCTTCCCTGAGCCCCCTCCCCCCCTGCAAAGAAACCTTCTGCTGAGCGACGCCGAAACCATTCTGGGAGAGCCTATTTTCAGTAGGTGCAATCATTGAAGTGGTAGTGAACTCACCTTCCGACCTGGGGAGAGAGCGGTGGATGGAGAGGGAGATTGGGGCGAGGTTGGCGGGAGGGGGGGTGACGAGGGAGCACACTTAGCGCTACCGGCGGGGGCTTTCCCCCAGCAAAATGGCAAAGAAAGAAGGTGAAGGTTTGGCCAGGCCAGGCGGATTGGGGGGCAGGAAGTAAAGGGCTGCAGTTATAAAGCACTGCTTGAGGCTCTCTCCCCAAGCGCCTCTGAACTTGATCAGATGTTCTGTTTCCTACAGAGAGATGGCGGCCAGGCTGTGAGGCTGCCTCAAGGCTCAGACTTTGGGGGCTCGGCCCTGTTAGGGATGTGACAATCCCAGCCTTCTTTCTGTGGGCCTTTTCTTTCCATTCCCACTCTCCTGCATCCTTTCAAATGTACTGCCCGACAAGAAAAAAAAAATGAGTGGATTTATAGCCCTGTCTGAACCTGGCCATTAAGTCCAGAAAGACCTTGCACCAGGCGGGGTGGGGGTGAAGCGGGAGGGCGTGTGGGAGGGCGTGTGATCCGCACACAACTCTGGAAAGTAAATCCTAAAGGGGTAAGAATCCTCGAGGTCACTTGGTGCTGCCTCTCCGGGTAGGAGGTGAAGAGAGCAAAGCCTTGGCTGTTCAGCGGAAGAAAATTCCACCTCGCCGTCCCCATTCCCGCCCCCCACGTTTGCATTTGAAAATGTTGAGAATTTGAAGCTGATTACCCCTTTGGGTTGGAAACCATGCTGGTCCTCTGTGTGTCTAGTGAGTTCGCTCTGCTTGGCAGCGTGTTTCGTGTGTCGTGGGCACAGGCTAAGCATAGTCTGTGCGTGTGTCGTGGCTGTGCTTGTGGCTGTGTCTTCTGGGCCGCGTGCGTGTATTTGCTCTGTTGCGTGTTTTGGTGTGCCGTGCGCCTGTGTTTACTGTTTTGTGTGTGGCTTGTCGGGTTCCGGCGTTGGGGTGCTTACTGTTGTGTTGAGCTGTCTGCGTGTCTGCTGTGCTGCGCGCGTGTTCGCAGCTCCGGGCTTGCGTTTGCCGTGTTATATGTTTGCTATGCTGTGACTGCTGTGTCACACATGGGGGGGGGAGTGTGTGTAGGGGCAGCGGCGACTGGAGCCACCACTCACAAACTGAAGAGTCAACGCTTGGCTCAGACGGAATCAAGGGAGATCGGCTCTAACTGCAATCGTCTCCCCTCGTTTGGGCCTCGGCCGGCCGGCCGCAGCTCGGGGCCCGGACGGCGGGCTGGCCGGCCTGGGTCGGGGCGCTCTCGGGGTCATCAGGGCCCACAGCGGCGTGCGGGGAGGACGCGGCCCATCGGCCGTGAACGTGGAGCAGCCGCGCCCGCTCCAGGATCGGCGCCCTGCGGCCGCCGGGAGGGCGCTTTCTCGGGGCGATGCGGCGGCGGGGACCCGAGCCGGACTGGACGTCCGGCGCCGCGCCGACGGTGGGAAAGATCCTTGCGGGGCCAAGAGCGCATTTGGCCAATGCGGGTAACGCGCGTGAGGGGTGTTTGTCCGCTGCGGGCCGGAGGCGAGCCAGGGAGAGGCCCAGCTCCGCCCCGCCGACCGCTGACTCGGGCCCGGCTCCGGCTCCCCGCAGCAGCGCCGGCCCCGCGGAGTCCACTCGCGGGCGCCGGGCCGCCGCCGCCGCCGCCGCCGCCGCCGCCGCCTCACCTGCCAGGCGCCGGGCTACTGCCCAATCAGCGGCGGTCGCTCAGCCGCGGCTGCCATGTTCCCCGCTCCGCGCTGTCAATCAGCGTGGCGGCGGCCAATAGGCTGCCGGGCCGGGGGTCAGGTGACCGCGGGCCAGCTGGCTCCCGATTGGCGCGCGCCGCGCGGCCTCCCGCTCGGTTTATGTGAGAGGAGTGAGTGATTGACTTTATCAGTCCAAGGACATTACTCTGGAGGCGAAGAGGCTGGGACTCGCGCGGCGAGCGGCGAGGACCGAGCCTGCCTCCAGCCCGCTGCCCGCCCGCCGGCCACGAGCCGGTTCTGCTCCTTAGCGCAGCCCAGCCGCGAGGCCCGTGCCGAGGGAGCCTTCTGGCCCCGCGGTGCTGCGCTCTCGGGGAGAGGAGGGGTGCCCGGGACCGGATTGGCCAACTCCGCCCTCCACTTATTATTTTGCTTATTTTTCTTTGTGCGCGCCTGTTAGTTTGTTAAACCAGATCTAGTCCCAGAGTCTTTTCTCCTCCCTTCTCCCCGCTCCTTCTTCCCCCCTCCTCCCTTCCTCCTGCTCCTCTACTTCCCCTCCTCCCTCCTACCCTTCTGCAGGAGACTCTCGCAGCGACGGAAAGTTGCGGCCCCTGGCACCGCCTCGGGGGGCTCCGGGCAGTGTCCAACCGCCGCCACCCCTCTCCGACGACAGCACTTCGAAGATCTCCTTCGCTCGCACCCTCGCTCATTTCAGCCGTATCACCGGTGCCCAGAACGCCCCACCCATGACGATGCTCCTGGACGGAGGCCCGCAGTTCCCCGGGCTGGGAGTGGGCAGCTTCGGCGCGCCGCGCCACCACGAGATGCCCAACCGCGAGCCGGCCGGCATGGGGCTGAATCCCTTCGGGGACTCGCCCCACGCCGCCGCCGCCGCCGCCGCCGCCGCCTTCAAGCTGAGCCCCGCCGCGGCTCACGATCTGTCTTCGGGCCAGAGCTCCGCGTTCACGCCGCAGGGCTCGGGTTACGCCAACGCCCTGGGCCATCACCACCACCACCACCACCACCATCACCACGCCGGCCAGGTGCCCAGTTACGGCGGTGCCGCCTCCGCCGCCTTCAACTCCACGCGCGACTTTCTGTTCCGCCAGCGCGGCTCCGGGCTCGGCGAGGCGGCCTCGGGTGGCGGGCAGCACGGGCTCTTCGCCGGCTCGGCGAGCAGCCTGCACGCTCCGGCTGGCATCCCCGAGCCTCCCGGCTACCTGCTCTTCCCCGGGCTGCATGAGCAGGGCGCCGGGCACCCGTCGCCCACGGGGCACGTGGACAACAACCAGGTCCACCTGGGGCTGCGCGGGGAGCTGTTCGGCCGCGCCGACCCGTACCGCCCGGTGGCCAGCCCGCGCACGGACCCCTACGCGGCCGGCGCGCAGTTCCCTAACTACAGCCCCATGAACATGAACATGGGCGTGAACGTGGCGGCCCACCACGGGCCCGGCGCCTTCTTCCGTTATATGCGGCAGCCCATCAAGCAGGAGCTGTCGTGCAAGTGGATCGACGAGGCTCAGCTGAGCCGGCCCAAGAAGAGCTGCGACCGGACCTTCAGCACCATGCACGAGCTGGTGACACATGTCACCATGGAGCATGTGGGGGGCCCGGAGCAGAACAACCACGTCTGCTACTGGGAGGAGTGCCCTCGCGAGGGCAAGTCCTTCAAGGCGAAGTACAAACTGGTCAACCACATTCGAGTGCACACGGGCGAGAAGCCCTTCCCATGCCCCTTCCCGGGCTGCGGGAAGATCTTTGCCCGCTCCGAGAACCTCAAGATCCACAAAAGGACCCACACAGGTAAGGGGGAAGGCAGGCGGGCGCGGGACTGACCGCGGCTCCGCGCCACGAAGCCGGCTCGCAGCGCGAGGGAGAGGGGTGGCGACCAGAGAGAGGGGCGGCGCCCCGCAGGGGCCGTTCGGCAAAGAAGCGCTGTCACTTGCCCCTCCACCTCTCGCCCTCCCCGCCCCGCGGCGCTTTTGCCCAGTTCTAACTTCCCGGGCTGACGGCTCCGCGGTCTCAAGAACTAATTGGAACCTTCTCGCTCCCAGGAACCAGCTGGCGCCGCCTCTTTTTGTCTCTCTTTCTGGGTTACTCGGAAGGGACTCCCAATGTGTCGAGAGCGGATTGCTTATCAGCGACTCGGCTCTCGGCACACATTCGGGGAAGGCGACCATAGAAATGCTAATGAAAACTAACTTTCGCTTACTTCCGCTCTTTTTTCCCCCTTGATTGGCACATCTCCTAATTAAATGACTGATACTTTTGTCAAACTATTTTTATTTGGAGTTCTAGGTTCAATTCAGTCCTCCGGGAGGAAAGCTAAAGTAGAAAAGGCACCACAGTTCCGTGGCTTGTTCAGAACATCTTGGGAAAAAAAAAAAAAAAAAAAACTGTCCGGAGCCCCTGGATTTATATAGTTTTCTCTTTTCGAACGTTCAGTCCGACGACCCGTGCTTTTTAATACTGGGTTTAGCAAAACCGCTGCCTTTGAGAGAGGCGAATTAAAAGGTACAAAGAAGGACCCGAACGGGATTGTCCCGTCCCTGGTCCATTGTCCCGCCGGGGCTGGCTTACATCGCCTAGGTAGCGACGGAGCGGCCACGCGTTGGGAGCCCCGGGCCGGGAGGGGGGGGGGATGGCGCGGGGGGGCGGGTGTGATGGAAGCACAAGTTAGGGGAAACTTTGGAGGGGCCGGAGGCTTCCCCGTCCTGCGCGAGAACAAAGGGACGCGCAGGTTCCGGGCCGGCCGTGCCCCACCCCCGCCGCGACCAGCCCTCCCCAGCCCGGCAGGCTCACTCGCGCTCTCCATTTTTCTCCAGGGAAACGAGATGCCACGGCCGCCCCCAGTCGGCGCTCCCTCTCCGGCCACACCGCAGGGCGCCCCGTCTCCCGCTGCCGGGCCCCGGCAAGCTCCGGGCCCTGACCGCATTTTCCCCCCCGTGCGCTTTTCTGCCCTTTGCAGGTGAGAAACCGTTCAAATGTGAATTTGAAGGCTGTGACAGACGCTTTGCCAACAGCAGCGACCGCAAGAAGCACATGCATGTGCACACCTCGGACAAGCCCTATATCTGCAAAGTGTGCGACAAGTCCTACACGCACCCGAGCTCTCTGCGCAAGCACATGAAGGTAATTACCTCTTTATTAGCGGTCGGCGGTTTATAAACACTCGGCCCGACACTGGGTCGCGGAACGGAAGCGCCCGCGCTGCCAACCCTGTATCCTCCACAGTTAAATCCGATTTGCTCCAGCGGTGACACCTTGAACCCATTTGGGGGACCCGGAGGAGGGGGGCGGGGGAGAGCACGGTGGGGCGGAGAAGGGAGCAGAGGGAACAATCGCCTGTTTACCGGGAAGCTCTAACCGAGCTCGCCCGGGCTTGGCGTTGCCGCGGCCGCCTCTTTCCGGCACTGCCCGCGGTGGGAACCGAGAGTGCCCGCGCCGAACCCGGGGGTGGGGGGTGCTTCATTCGCTCTCCGGGGGCTGCCGACCGAACAATAGGGCCGAGGAGCGGGGTCTGGTTCCCACCCATTTGTCTGAGACCTCGCAGTGCCCCGGGCGCCCGTGCCACCTTTCTCTATACCTGCTTTCCCAAGCCGGAGCGGGCTTGGTGAAACCTGGGCCGGGAGTGAGGGTTTTTATAGGGCCCCGAAGACCCAACTGCCTGTCCCGCTCCATAGGCGGAGAAAGGGCATGAGCGAAACCGAGCGTTGTGTTCCTTTCCCGCAATGCCAGTCTTAGGGCCGAAAGTGTTCTGTTGGCGACCATCTCGGAGTTTTCTAGAGCTCGCTAATCTGGAAATCAAAAACAAAAACAACAACCCCCTCCCCCCCAAATCCGCGGCATTTCTCGTCTAAGTGGGTCACTGGGCGGTCTAGCTCCTACACTGCTCGAATTCTGCTCATGTTTTTGCTTGCACAATGCCAGTTGGAATTATATTCATTATAATATATACATGTTAATTTTAGGTTCATGAATCTCAAGGGTCAGATTCCTCCCCTGCCGCCAGTTCAGGCTATGAATCTTCCACTCCACCCGCTATAGCTTCTGCAAACAGTAAAGATACCACTAAAACCCCTTCTGCAGTTCAAACTAGCACCAGCCACAACCCCGGACTTCCTCCCAATTTTAACGAATGGTACGTCTGAGGACAAACACAAACCCTGTTAACCATAGAATGGACCAAATGCATTTTAAAAAGAAAACTGAGACCAATCAGATGGAAATGGAGTTTTAAGGCGAGAGGCCATATATAGGGTTACATCTTGTTAATGGCAATTGTCCAGGAAGGTTTTTGGGGCAGGATCCAAAAGTAGCCATGCCCTATTCTCAGGATTAGAAAATAACGTTTTGGCATTTGAAGGATTTAAAAAAAAAAAATCTTCTCACTGCTTTTTCCCTCCCTTTTCTCTCTTGCTCTCTGCACCCCCCTTCCTAAACTCCTTCAGTTCATTTTAATACTTGTTCTGTTTCTTGAGAGGAACTTATAGAAGGCTTGTTGGTGGTGGTGATGTTAAACGATGGAAATTCTTCGCCTTAGTGGTGATTGTTTAAACTCTCACAGTCTTAAACCGTGCCAAAGTCCTGTTATGTCTTGAACTTTTTCCTCAAAGCATTACACTTGTGAATGTATTTTTGTCTAATGGGGTCGAAACTGTTGTTCAGTATTTTTTCAGGCTGAGGATGTGATGTTACTCTACAGATTGTGACGTTTAGTATACAGTTGCCTTTTGTAATAACTTTTTTTTTTGTAAATACATATCCATTGATGCCATATTTATCGTTTGTAATTTAATTATTGCTACAAGTGCCGGGAACTGAACAATATTTATGGAAAAAAAATGTTTTCTAACAAATGCTGTACAGCTTTTGATTATAACTGCTCTAGCATTAAATTTTATTGTTTTCAAAGAAGAACACAATTTACAGTTTTTGAACCACTGACTCCTTTCTCTTGTTTTGTAACAGCCTCCTTCTACAAAGAGGAGACGTAAGCAAATGAAATCTTGTTTGTTGGTATTTATAACTCACCCAGATCCCTTTTTTAATTGTTAAATTATTTTTCTATTGCAGTATAGAATCCTTACAGTGTCAATTTCCATCTGGGGCGACCCTCCTTTCTTTATCTCTAGCTCAGATGGTTGTTTAACTGTGAGTTTAAATGTGTTTGTCTTGGATTTTCGGCATGCAAATCAAATATTACTGATCAGTTCAGTTAGTGGCCATGACATCTCAATCTTGTATTTCAAAGACTGAGAAGCTGGATTTAATCATCCCTGCCCTCCATATATAACCATAAGGTAACCTAATGAGTTTTATGTCCCTTAGTTTTTTTATTACCTTACATAAAAATGAACATCGTGGCAGGATGCATGTCTGTGTATTCTATCGAGAGATCACCCATATACATATATACGTTTGTATCTATGACTTATCTAATCTATCAGATCTATCTAGCTATCTATATATTTTCAAGTGAGTGTATGTCTGCAACGGTGGTGATGAGTAAGGCCCAGTCGAGCCGTGCTTACTTATGGTTAAAGTGCTTCTTAAAAAGAACCATAGTCCATTTACAATTTTGGAAGGCAGAGGCTGATTTGTTTTGCTGTATATAGTTCAATTCATAATTATCACAGTTATTCATAACATTTTTATAGCGGTGTAACAACTGCAGCGGTTCCGAAAACGATATTATGGAAAGAAAAAAAGAAACATTTGCAAAATATGTATTTTTAAAGTTCATGGTTTGTAGGTACAGATGTTAAGAGCATTGTTTCCATTAAAATCAATAACAATGAAAAATGGTTGTTTGCTTTGTGATAAAATATTAACAATCCATTTAACCTTCAGCGAAGCAACTCACTTGGACAAACCGTTCTTTTACAGTTGTTATATGAAAAAAAAAAACCTGATTACTATATTGGGGGGTTGGAGTGGGTTAGAGTATCGAGAGACTTGAACTAATCTAGGGTGCTGTTTAATATTGAGAGCCCAATCTCTGCATGAATAACCAGCTTGCAAATCAGCAAATAGAATGGTGGAGATAAGGAATTGTAAAGAATTAGAAATGTGATGAATAGGCTTAAGTACCTCCTCTTGAAGGGGCAATGCTCTAGATTTTTTTGGTGGCCATCACTTTGGTATTATACATAATCATTTTGAATTCTAGAATTTTGTTTATTGTTCCTTTTGAAGAAATAAAGTCTTGGCACATCTTATTTATGTTATAACATTTTTGTATTTAGTGCCCGCTTCCCCCGCCCCCCCCCCACCGTTCAAATAAATCAACCTTAAATTGAAATGCTCAGAGACCTGATGGTGATTAAAAGAAACTTTGATTTTCTGGATACAGTTGAAGCAGTCTATTTTAAGTTATCTACCGATATCCTTGTCAACAATTATTGACAGTTTCTAATCGCAAATTGCTTTGATGCAATTTTTCGTCTGTGGAGAATGGGGTTTTTTTGCACTTTCCTCCACCAAGGCAAGGGCCTGAATGCCATGAACAGAGAGATTGGGATGGCTTCACAAGCGATGAGCAGGTAACCTGGTCAGTATACCACTTCTACCCCAGACGTTCCAATCTTGACCTTGACATTGAGGGTGCTGGACCAAATTTCTATTTCAGGATTTTTTTTTCCCCTTCACTTCAAACCAGAGGCCGTTTTAAATGCTCAGCAAGTTTTCAGAAAGTCTGTATTCATAATACTGGCTCTAAGTGTGTTCCAACTGAAGTCTAGGTAGTGTTTTTCTTCTGAAATATGCGCTGAACTTCCACAACTTGCTGTTTTCCCCATAAATTTCCTCTCCACTCCCAACTTAACCTAATCTTAAATGGGAGTTGAATGATGCGTTGGTTGCAAGTTTCTCTCAGAAACTTGCCTCTCCCCCCCCGCCATTAAATATATTAAATATCTCTTTAAGAGACATAAAGCAGAGTTTGATTTTTCCTTAGTAGGCTTGGTATTATTCTACCATAAAATTTGACCATAAAGCACCATGTCCTAAGAGGGGAAGATAGCAATTAACAGTGATGATAAGCAACATTACGATAATGTAATGGCTTTGCCCTTCTACATGCTTTGCTCTAATTCTGGTGTAGCATCCTATTTCTCAGTCTATGTGCTCTGCCCTTGTCATTTGTTGGCAGAGAAAACTTTCAGTAGAAAACTTTTCACAGATTTTTTTCCCCTGTAATCTGACTCTGGGAGTGCACATTTATATTCTTGAATTTTCAGTCAATACCTTAAAGAATAAGCACCCCTCCCCCCCCAACAAAAAACCTGGGCCACCCTAAAGATGGATCACCTGGAAACCATGAATGTCAACGGGGCTGTTAGTGATCTACCTGTTAATTTCCTTCTTGCACCTGGTAAGACCTTTGTGGAAAGTCCATGATCTTTTCCAAAATGGGTGGTTTAGCTTAAGATTTCCACTGTTGGGTGGGGAAAGGGGAGGTGTCTATTTCCAAGCAGACAGAAGTCTGGCCTATATCCAGTTTGGAAGGTTAAAGATCAGGGTCCAGGCTAAGCGAGGCAGTGGGTCTTAGCTACTGTGAAGGTTGGAGAGCGGGCAGGGACCGCCTCCGCTCACAAAGCCTCCCAGGAAAGTTGTGCTCAGGACCTCCTCGCCCCTCCCCCCTCCTCGCCGCCTGCTGTCCCCTCGCCTCTTTGCCCCTGGCACCCTCTCCTCCCCCGCCAAGCAAAAGAGGAAAGTCGAAGGGTCTCTTGCCACTGAAGTTTCTGTAAGAACAGCCCCCGGGGGTGCCATGCCCTGAAGGGCGGGTTCTCGGCCTGGCAGCGAGGCTGGCTTTCTCGCTGGCTGGCTGACCCTCGAGGCTCCAGTCTTTGGCCGGGCTTGGCCCCAGGGACAAGGCCAGGCGTTTTCGCAAGTCAGGGCTCCTGCTCGGCGTCCCTCGGGCCCCTCGTTGGGGCGCCCAGGGTCCCTGTGCACACACCGAGCCCTTACAAGGCCCGGTCGAAGCTCGAGCCGGGGGGCGGGGGGGAGGGGACCTCGTTTCCTAGGGTCAATTCTCTCGCGGTCTCGGCCCGCTGACCCTTTGACCTCCACCTACAGGGCCCTTGGCGGCCGTAAGCCGGCGGTCGCCCGGGTTCCGTGGACGCTTCGCGCCCCATCGCCTCCCGGCCTCATTAGGCCGGCGGGGCTGTAAAGCAGGAATCAGCCGCTGCCTAATCCGGACCTGGGGTCAATACGAGCCCAAACAATGGTGAGCTCCGAAGGCCACAGCGTAGCGCTGGCCGCAAACTTTGTGTTCCATTCATTTTCTCCGGGTGGGGGTGGGAAGGAAGGGCACTCGGACGCCCGAAGGCTGCTCCCGGCCGCCGGCGCTCCTAAGCGGGCGTCCTCTGGCCCGGCCCTCCCGGTCTCTCCGCAGGGCCTGGACTCGAGGTGGGGGGGTGGTTAGGCCCGGGGCCTGGCCGGCGGCCCGCGCGGGGGTGCGAGGGTCCGAGGGCCGGCCCGGAGGGGGCTGCCCCCGCGCCGGGAGCGGACTTTGAAGTGGGTTTTTAGCGCGCACGTGCGAGAGCCGGGCCGGTGCCCGAGCGGGGACCCGCTGCGACGAAAAGAGTAGGCTCGGCCCGGGCCCCAGCCCCTCCCCCGCTCCCCGTGGCTCCGGCCTTTTCAAGCCCGCCGCGCCCCCCCTTCGCCCCCACTCCCGCGCAGGCGCACACCCCGCAGCCGTCGAGCGGCTCTGGCTGCCAGGGGGTGGGGGGGAGAGTTGAAAGCGGCTTTGCAGCGCCGCGGCCTCGGCAGAGCGGGGAGGGAGGGGTGTGGGGAAGGGGGGTGGTTTTGGGGCGGCTCTCGAGTGGTGAACATGGCGGCCGGATGCGAACCCCCGCGGAGCGCAGCAAAGCGCTGACTGCGGGCTGCCGAACTGTTGTGTGCTGTAAACTCCCTCGTCCTTCCCCGGCTCCGAGCGCCTCGCGGGAGAATGTAGATCTAGGCGGGCGAACGCAAAATTGTGGAAAAAAAACGGAAGCGAAGAAGTTCTTCCAGGGCATTCTGGGCGTGGGAAGTTGGCGAGCCTTCTGGGGGTTGGGGCTCCCAGGAGACTTGGACTTGAAACCCGCCGGAGGCCGCCCCACCCTCCCGTCCCGCTTGAGCCCCTCTCCTCCCGGGTCGCGGGTGGGGGGAAATGCCATTTTGAGTTCTTGGGCCC